AAAAAAAAAAAAAGAAAAAGAAAACAAGTGTGAATTAAGTATATCTCCGTGACTGTGCGGTCAGAAGCACAGGGTTTGAATCCCAGCTCTGCCACCTGCTATCTGTGTGATTGACCTTAGAAATGTTGGTAACCTCCCTTAGACTCAATTTTCCTATCTATAGAATGGGAAATGACAGTAACTACCTCATAGAGATAGTGCATCTAAAAAGCTGAACACACTGCTTGGCATATAATACTCAAAAATTTTAAGTATAATAAGAGTAATATTAATAATAGTTATTATAGAAGCAAGCTAAATTATCACAAGATTATATATACATTGCAGAATCTCAGGGCTGAGAGATTTCTTAAGGGCTGGCAAGTTCAGACACACTTTTGATGCTTAAGATTCCTCTACATGCGCCCCCCTCCCCCCCACCACACACACACACACACACACACACACCGCTGAAATGGTCCCCAACGTACGCCTGCTCACTTCTGTCGGAGAACGCCTTCCCTCCCAACCTGAACAGAAGAGTCCTCCCTATCTTGAGCTGCACCACTGTGTCCCTGTAAATTCAACCCACTGGTCTTCATTCAAGCCCAGAGACACATCAGTGAGGGGGACATATATTTTCTTTGCTATGGCAAAGTTTTCAATGGGCGCAGCTGTCTGTCTGTCTGTCTGTCTCTCTCTCTCTCTCTCTCTGTAATACAAGATTCAGAACCAGAAGATTTGGCCCATCTGATTATACTGGCCATGGCTAGAGTGAGAGAATCTCTGGGTTTGGGATGCATGGAGACCCCAAGTCATGCAGTCACCACATCCACACCCACACCTCCAACCGCAGTCTCTAGAATGTTCCTTCCTAGCCTCCCCACATCTGGGGACAAACTCCTCCTCGTTCCTTTCCTTTGAGTACCACAGTGGTCAGGGTCACTGTTTGCCCAGTGAGTGGGTCGCATAGGTTTGCGTAGCTAGCCTGGGGGTTACAGCCAGTGCAGCTTTGTTTCTTGACTTCAGGTAAAATTCAAGCAGAGGGTTTGGCTGTGGTCTGAAATGTTCATTTCCTCTTAGAAGTAATCACCTATCTTCTCTCTCCATTATCCTCTTAATTATGTTTGTGATTCAGGTAGAAAAACCTTCTGGCTTACCACCAGCATCCCTAAGGTCAAGGGCTTGGTTTACTCTTGAGTTCATGCTTGGCTCCACATGTTGAAGTTCTGGAACCATTCTCTGGCCTTCAGACATAGCCGTAGATCCACCTACCAATATTGTAAAGACCAGCGACTGAGAGTACCGTATCAAATAAGGGCCGTGCTTGCATTACTGTGCTAGCCTCCTATGCTGGGGTAGTGTCATTTTCTCGGTTTCAGCTTTGCCACTATTATCTCTCTTAAAATACCAAAAGCGTTACTTCATTTCTGCAGTGAGAGTGTGGGTTACTTATTATTTAGCGTTTTCAGTATCTATCTTATAAGGGGCTTATACCAAAATGCTGTATACGGATTGCTTTTAAAATAGAGTAGGGAAGGAGCCTCTTTCCACAACGGTTTAATCTTTTTTTTTTTTTTAATTTTTTTTTCAACGTTTTTATTTATTTTTGGGACAGAGAGAGACAGAGCATGAACGGGGGAGGGGCAGAGAGAGAGGGCGACACAGAATCAGAAGCAGGCTCCAGGCTCTGAGCCGTCAGCCCAGAGCCCAACGCGGGGCTCGAACTCACGGACCGCGAGATCGTGACCTGGCTGAAGTCGGACGCCTAACCGACTGCGCCACCGAGGCGCCCCTCCACAACGGTTTAATCTTTTGCCAGTTTTCTACCATCCCTGGCATTGAGTACCCCTCATGTAAACTGGATCAGGTGCTTCTTTTCATAATTGTGATATCAACAAACAAAGTCGACATTCCATTTTAATTCTCTTCTGTTGGATGTTTCACACAAGCCCTTACCACACTTTTTTCCTTTCCTCCTGCAGACAACCATGGAATCTGTGAGGCATAGTAGATGCATTGGTGAAAAATGACAAAGGCACATCTTGACCAGTTCATTTCCTTTTAAATGTTTTTTTAATTAATTTTTTTAAGTTTTTATTTATTTATTTATTTAAAAAA